GCAGTAGGACCTTTGAGTTACATTTACGTCCAGGTAATCGATAACCGCGTCATGGTAACGTTACGCATAAAGCGACAGATACGGTTTGTGAGAAACACGAAAGAATTACAGCTAGGGGTCTGGCATGACATCGATTTCCGAAAAATCAACGACTTTGCGCAGCTCTACGTGGATGGCGTTCCGGGTATCCCAACACGGATGTCGGAGAACGAAATTTTTTCAGGCACGCTTACCGTCGGTGCAACAATTCCCGAAAGGAAGAACTCGTTCGTCGGTTGTCTTCGAAGTATGACCGTAAACTCTGTCGACGTCGAACTGAGCCAACCACCACCACCACCGTGCGAGACGCCGAGACAAGAACGACAACGACAGCAGCTACAACAACAACAACAACAACAACAACAAGAACAGTGAAAACGACGGCCTTCAGGATAAAAATGACATTGATGTTTTTCAAGATTCAAGGTTCAAGAATCAGTTATTCAAAATTTTTTTCATATGTTGAACTAATTTTTCAAAGACACACAGGGGTGTATTTGAGGAAAAACTAGCGAACCGTTGATGAGATACATATGTTTGAATATTATAAAACAGGTGGAAAAATGTGGTGGTTACACTCCCTTTCCCCAGTTTTAATTACTTAAAATCTCTATCTCATTTTTGTTGTCAAATATACTTTTTGTGTCAGTAAAATCATTTGTACAACGTTTTATTTTCCTCCAGAAGATCGCTATATTACTGTTAGTGACCTTATCAAATGTGCAGTTAAGAAGTTGTCTGATCGGTATTGTTTCGGCTTTTTGAGCTGAAGACCCCCGGTTCATTCCTGGTTAGCTTCGTGAGGTTTTTCTTTTTGTTTTTCTCATTTTCAAAATCAATGAAAGAGAGCGTTTTATTTACTTTTTTAATGCACAATAAACTAATAGGTTTTACTGGTTATACTGACCAAGTTTGTTTGAAATCAGACCAACCGTTTGCCACTAGCAGGGTTTTTAAATGTTGCCAGGAAAACATTTATATGAAATCCCTGAACACCATGTAGACTCAGACTTATGCCAATACATGTGTGGAAAGTAAAAAGACTGTGTTCCTTTATTTGTGACAGAAGTAGTCTTTTATGCGATTTTGAGTTTTTTAGCCACTGAATGACTTCCGTGTGACCTTTGATCCCAAGCTGTGAACACCCTATGCATGGGAAGTGTCACCGGTTATAATGGCAAAGTGTGTTACCAGAAGAAGATAAAAATTACCCCACAATGACCTTCGATTCCAAATCCCTGAACATTCTATAGACTCTGCCTTATGCTAAAGGACAAGACTATGTTATGTTAATAATTAACATAACATAGTCTTGTCCTTTACACATATTCCAAGCTCACAAACGGGTTGTAAACTCGCACTGCACTGTATTGAGAAACAAGCCTCAATACCCAGAATAGGGCGTAGAATGTGAATTTTGTGTGAATTGGGTTTTTGTGTAATAAGTAAAGTATAACTATTAATCTTACTATTCCTGAAGTTTGAGTTTAAACGTCCAACTGTAAGAGGTAAAATTTAGCCATTTTCGGATGGGAGCTAATGAAAAATGAATAGAAACCTGCCGAAAATAAAAGCATTTTTCTCAAAACTTGCTTTAAGAAAGTTGATAAGATGACAATTATTCGAACGGTCATAACTTTGCTTCCAGACACCCGATTGAGTTCATTTAACTGTCATTTTAAAGTAAATGATATGTTCTATGCCACTATAACAAAAACTCATTTTGGCCTGAGGACGAGTTTACAGCCCGTTTGTGAGCTTGGGTCACTTATTAGTGACAGGAGTAGTCTTTTATACGATTTTTGGTTATTTGACCTTAATGACCCCTGTGTGAACTTTGACCCCAAATGGTGGACATCCCACGTATGGGAATGTTTCACCAGTTATACTAACCAAGTTTCGTTGAAGGCGCAAGAACGCTAACAAACATAACCTATTCTGCCTGCTGCTTACTGGATAAGAACGCTAGAAAAATAGAACACAGTCTGCTTGCTGCTGACTAAGTAATAATGATGATAATAGTGAAGATGATAATGATAAGGATGATGATTATGATTGTGAGATGATTATGATGAGGAGGATGATGTTGTTGATGATCATTATGATGAGTATTTGATACAAGTATAAGAATTATTGTGATGTTAATATCCTTACATATTGTCCTTATGTAGTCCAAGTATGTTGATGAAACTAGTCTCACTCGGACTGGATAAGCAGTTATATAATTTTGGTTGTCTTGGATAATAGTACAGGAAAGCTACACACATTTCATCGGTTGTGCCTTCACCTCCCTAATAGAAAAGAACTAAACAGTGAGAATGATATTATGTGCAATATGCCTGCACCTATAATAAAGGAATTTTTTATTTGCAAGTAATTTTGCTATTCCAAAGCAGGCACTGAAAATGATGGATATAGTGTCCTCAAAACGTGACGAATATTTGCAAATTAGTATATAATAAATGTTGCAACGAATCTCCCACGAATGGTGCTATAAATGGTTGCAATATAAATTTTTAACAATATGGATATAAAAAGATCAAAGAATTAAAATGAATGACAATGTTGGAAGAAACAAATTGATACACAAGAAGAAATTAAGGTATTATATGGTAATATTGTATGAATATATAACTAGAGGGCTGTATTAAGAAACAAAATATCAAATTATATATTCCTAATTGTGACCTATTACAGTATAAACTTTCTTAGCTTAACAATAGCTCCACCATAATGTGTGAGCGTTTCAGTCAGTTGTATAAAAGAAAGTGCATGGGGTTGAATATGCATGTATACCCTAGGTCCCCGTGGTCTAATGGGTATTACACTAGATTGCGAGAGGTTGCAGGTTCAAATCCCGCCAGAGACACATTTAACTGAATTAAAGAAACAGCATTTCGTTGAATGGCTGTTTTGATACGATTTTGACACTGAGCTCTATTAACACGGTGATACGCAGCATACCTAATTAAAATATAATATAT